CTGCAAAAGCATAGAATTGGTTGTTTCATTGTCTCATCATCTTTTCAAGATCACTAGCAAAGGCTATTGCAGCATACCCTCCAACACACACTGGCTAACCATTTCCCTATCAAGGGTCCTTGTCCCTTCAGAGTTGCTAATAGTTGGCTAAAATGCTTATATTTTGTGACATACTTAAGAGGTGGTGGAGAGAATTTGAGGTGGAGGGATTTGCCAGCTTTAGAGTTTTGAAGAAGCTAGCCATGATCAAGGATAAACTTTAAATATAGAGCAAAGAGGAGTTAGGTTGTGGTTTCTAGGAGGGAGTGATGAGCCTCTTTGAGGCCGAAACTGAGACAAGAAATAGAATAAGTAAGAGATGAAATGGATTGGAAGCAAAAATTGATGAGTAAATGGATTAAAGAGGGAGATAGGCTAAATTCTTTCACACTTTGGCTAATCATTATAGTAGATATAATTTCATAGAGGAGTTGGAGATCACAGGTAGGACCATGAGGTGCAATGAGAATTTGAGAGAGAAAATTAAATCCTTCTATGAAGAATTATTCCAAACCTTTTGCATGGAGACCAATGCTGCCTAGTGAACCTTCTGTAGGACACCCATGTTGAATGGGTTCATTTTTTTCTTTCAAGACTAATTTGGAAAGCAAAAGCAACTCCTAGGGTGGGTTTAAATCTAATTGATTGGGAGATTGATGATTTCTCTAGAGTTGTCAATTCACTCTCTAGAGTGGTGGTTTCTTAGGGCGCTGAAGATGAACCCATGTGGAGCCTTAGCCCCAAGGACATATTTTTGGTTAAAATCCTTTTACTTGTTTTTCACTAGTAGGGAGGTTGATAATGCAAACTTTCTTTCAAGACTAATTTGGAAAGCAAAAGCAACTCCTAGGGTGGGTTTTTTCTTTGGCATGGGAGTCTTCGTGGAACTCATTCTTACATTGGGTAAGCAAACCAAGAGATGCAAAATCCTTATTAATGGATGTTATTTGTGTAAAAAGAATGCAAAGTCATGCAACGACATCCTCCTTTGGTGTCCTTATGCCCAATATATATGGCCCTTTATCTACAGTCTTCTAGGTTTGAGCTTGGAGATTTGTGGCAATGTCAGGGAGTAGATTTGGACGTGAAAAGGCATTCAAAATATAGGCAATCTCTACAGCTCATTCACCCCGGTGATCTTCTGGATAATTTGGAATGAGAGAAATATGAGGGCTTTGAAGGTATTGAATCATCTTTTGACAGGCCTAAAGATTCGTGGTTTCAGGTCCTTAGGTTTTTTGTAAGGGCCAACAATCGTATTCCTGCAAGGAACTAGGGGAATTGATTAATATTTTGGTTGAGATGTAAAAATTTTGTTATATGGATTGCATCCCCTTGGTGCCCATTTATACATATTCTTTTTCCTATCAAAAAACAAAAGTTAGCACTTTACACCATAAGTCTCAAACTCCACTTAAGAAACCACAAGTAGGCCTCCTTACAATGTCAGCTGTTTGTGAACAGCTCATGATTAATTTGATATGGCAACTCCTATTCGATAAGATAAATAGACAAGCTGAGTTCAAGTCATCAAACAGAGCTTGACTGTGAACATTCTTTTTTCAATAACAAACATACTCAAGCTTGCTTGCAAGTTCTAGGCGTTATCTATTCTAAAAGAAATTTAAGTTTGATGCTATAATTTTGAAATATTTGAATGTTAGTATCCAAACTTTATTTCTGTGTCACAGGTGTTTATCTTGATTAGCTAATTTATTATTTAGCATTGTTCTTTTAATGTTTACCTATTCAAGCTTGGCAACAAGCTCGTTTACAAGACTCAAACATGGGTAGATCGTATTTATAAAACAAAATCAAGCTCTAATGAAAGCACTTCTAATTATAGTGACAAGAGTTTGAATAAGAATGTTCTGAGACCAACCTCAAGTTCACCTATTAAAAGGATAAATTCAACACCTTGAAACTAAGTAAAGCTCAGATCAGCTCAAGCTTACTCGACTACTAACCAAATGAGTAAGAAGGGATATTTTTAGGGCTCAAACAAGAAATGCAATAACTACCACATACCCAAAGAAAAAACATTTCCAACATTTCCATGGTGATCACCATGGTAGCTCTTTTCTGGTAATGGTAATTTTTGAGTCAGAATGAAACATCATGAATTTGAAGCTTCCCCTCTTAATCAATGAAGGAATGGCCAAGCCATTGAGCTAGTATGCTCAACCTTGTTATTGCCATGGAACTCAAAAAGCTGGTTCTGACAATGTATACACAAACAGATTACAAGAGGACTCAAGAAACTGATTCGATATGTCTCATTGTCAAATTTCATGTTGACATCAATAAGTATCCCATTTTTTATTACAAGTAAAATCTGACTACTTCAAAAGCAGAATAAAAACACTCCTTGAGCTTACTTTCACTCTTTTCCAGAATACCAAAGCACTACTTAGAATTACAAGTTCTACTGCCAACCATAGCAACAACTACAAACATCATACGTATATGATGTACCAAATTTACATGTATAAAGTGCACGTATCAGAAACATTACCATCATAAGGATGAGCAGGAGCAAGGCCAGAGGGATGATGATAGTCTGGATTGAGAGTAGTGGAAGAAGCAGAGGACTGGCGTATCATGGGCGGAGGTGGTGGTAGCGGACCCCTTGGGAAGTCCCCACCACCAACCCCCGGTTGCTGCTGCTGTTGGGGATCGCCGTACATCATTACTGACAAGAAAAACCTATGTCCTAATCCTAAGGCCAAGAAGAAGGACGAAATTAGATCACAAAGCACTAAAGTAAAACCCTAAACCCTAATTCTAGTAGATTGAGAAAGAAGGTTGAGCCGCTTTAAACTCAAACCCACCTAATAACTACTAACTTGTAACTAACACCAATTACACATATAAACAAACAAAGAAGAAAAAGAGCCCAAATTCACCGAAAAATTATGCATTTTCAAGAAAAAAAAAAATCGAGCTTACACAGAGATATTGCTGAAAAGGCCAACAAAATCAAATAATGGAAAACCGGTATTTCGAGAACGGCAGCGTGTTTACTGCAGAAGAGGAGTCTAATGGTGCATACGAACTGAATTGTGCGAATGAAAGAGCGGAAACATTCGGCAACGCAGAGTATCAGAAAGTAGCTGCGAACGAGAAATGGAAGGTAAGACTGGTGAATTTGTGATGAGAGAAAATGATTTCTCCGCGCTGTCTCCCTGCAATACTGTGGGTCTGTGGTGGCTATTTGCAGTCTTTTCAGCTACACATGGCGAATGGCTGAACCCATCCTGTACTTCGCAAAAAGGGTTTGGTCTTGTCCGCCATCTTTTACTCGCGGGCGGTTTAAATATGAAATAATATATAATAAAGTTAGAAATATAACATGTATTTTTAGATTTCGCTTACCGTACTATTTAAATTTTTTAATTTAATTGTTTTTTATTTTTTTTAATTCTATATTGATTTTTATACTTTCATTTTGTTCCTAAATTAATACTATAATTGTTCATAAATGAGGTTTTTTATATCCTATTTTTTATCTACCTAAGTGTTCATCTATTTTTTATTTCTTCTTTCTTCATCTTCTTATTTTTCTATTATATATGTAACGGTTCCAAAAATTTAAAAGGATATGTATATATTTATTCTAAGTGCGAAAGCGAAATAAAATAGATTATGATTAACATCTCTTACACAATAATTAAAACGTATTAAAAATATGAAAGAATAAACTAACTGAACGAAATACTATGAATGAATATTATAAGAAAAACTAATAAATCTTTAGGCTTTTATTCGTCATCTTCCTGCGGAACGGGTTCGGGAACCAAGTCTTCCTGATCTGAAATGGTTAAGTAAGAAATGAGATACACTAGCCCAGTAAAGATATCACATTATCTCACTGTCACAGTAGTAAAGGTTGGTAGAAAATAAAAACGACCAATAGAGCATAATTCATAACAAATTCATTTATCAATAATAAAATCATTTACTGCATACTTACCTTGGTGAGATTCATGAAAACAATTTATGAAAATAATAATATTATAAACATCATAAGATTATGCACACTTTGTAACATAACACATATCATACTTTAGAATTTCAATCATCAGGCAACAAATTTCCTCTTTTATCAGCCTACTAGTATCCATGGAAATCCATAGAGGTCCCCGCTATTTGTGAACTATTCACCTTAATTCCAGAGCCGTCTTCATACCCCATCCGGTATGAGTGTCAAAACCATAAACCTCAATACCTCGTTCGGTATGAAGGTGAAGCAGGCTGTCCCCATACCCCGTCCGGTATGAGCGCCAAAACATTTAAAGTCTCCATACCCCGTCCGATATGAGAGACCATATTTCCAGTCGGGTTCCCTATGGACCCAGTCCGTCCACCATCTCCCAGGATATCTAGTGAGAATGTCGACTTACCCATTTATCAATTCACATACCTTTTCTATTCTTTTCTTAGTTTTTTGTTTCTCACAAAATCATGAATATTTAAACCAATAACGAACATCCAACAATGCAGGCATATCATCGGATTCACATAATCAAGTCATAATGAAATAAACAGTGATTCATGCATTCAAAACCATAACATAAATAAATCAGATATCGTAATGCCTTTAAAACTGTAAAATAACTAAAACAGCCACTGAACGAAAATATATCAGATTCGGCCTCCATTAGTAACCTTAATCAATTATACGTATCTATTAATTCATAAAATACCGTTTTATTATTTATTAAGCTTTAATGCCGTGATAGGAAATAGAGTGAGGGATCCTTACTTGTTTCGGAGTCTGAGATTGGGTTCTCACTGCGTCTACGGGCAGTCCCTAAATTCCCTGAATTTTTTTCCGGAAACTGAAACATACTTCTGGTACCTGCACATGTCCCCAAAAAACCCCAAAACAGACCCAGGGCCTATTCGGCCAATTTTGGAATTCTGGCACGGTGGCTCCGCCGTGCTCCGGCAACGGTGCCACCGCAGGCGGCGGCGATCCGCCTTGAGTTGGCCATTTTCGACCGAATTCGGCCAAACTTGCATTGTTTCCTGTGATAAAACACCCTTAGGGCCATCAGTGGGCCAAAAAATTACAGAAAACTGAGATTTGCCGGCGGAGGAGCTCTCGGGTGCGGCGGCTCCTCCGGCGCGAGTTGCGATTTGGTGTTTTGCTCCGGTCAACCTGTAGAGAAAATGACGGTGGTCACAGTGGTGTAAAAATTACATCGAACAGGAACTGGAAAGGGCCTCATCAGAGGCAAAAATTAAGGGAACCCGCGGCGGCGCCGCTGGGCTTCGGCGGTGTTTTCTGGGCAATTGGCCAATGGTTTGGCTCTGATTTAGCCACATGTGGATTCAGCATCGAAAACCGAGCCAAAGAGAGAAATTTTACCTCGTTCGGCGGCTGAAAAATCCTCTGGTGCGGTGGCGGGTGGCGGCGGCCGGTTCCTCCGGTGGTTGGGTCGTCTTCTCCGGTGAGGGCTCTGACGGCTAGGGTTTGGGTTTGGGTGTGGGTGAGGTTATTTATAATATTTCTCTTTTAATCTGAGTCGTCTATCACGATTTAATCTGGGCCGTCCGATCACGATTAAATTAGGAATAAATCTGGGATATCCATCGCAATACGGTCTGGGCTGTCCGTGCGTGATTCAATCTGGGTCGTCCGTGCGCGCGGGAACAGATCTGGACTGTCCAATCGCGCGCACGCGGATCACCCACATGTCTCCGTCCCGCGTGGCTTCCCGCGTCAGCGTCCCTGCCACGCGGTGTGTCCTGGTTGGCCGGGACTGTTGACATGGCGCAATTTTTTTAAATTATGTTTTGACCCCCGATTTTCGATTTTCTTTTCAAAAATACCCCCAAAATATAAATTTTCACCCCTTTTTCTCAAAATCATTTTCAATTAAATCCCAAAAATAATTTTACCCCCTTTTATCATTATTATTATTTTTATTTCTATTAAATTAAATTAAAACCTTATAAATTAATTATTAAAATAAAATAAAATCAAATAAAATTCCAATAATAATAAAATAAAAAGTTTTGGGTGTTACAATATATATATTTATATGTATATTCAAAACTTGAAATAGTTTATTGTGATAAGAAAATGACATTAACAATGAAAAACATAATTAACTGAATTAATTAGATATCATCAAATCTAGAGCTCGCCAACCTCAATGTGTTTTAGGATCAGGTTACTGTTGCGGTGGAGAGTGACAAAGGACTCGATGTTGTTGATGCATAAGCAATGTACATTATTGGCATTGGACATTAGCTTAAGAATCCAACATTTGTTAATTGACAAAAAAAGAGATGTTAGAAGGAGTTAAGCAATCTTGTTGCCTTCCTACTCGATTAGCCAGATGAACACTTAAGGTAGCCAACAGTTTCTTCATGACATGACATGTGGAACAATATTATCTATTTTGTTTTATCTTGATTACTTTTATTTTTTTCCACCCATCTACATATCTTTTTTTGATTCTTTTAATTAAGGGGAGTGATAAAAGGTTGAGGAGAGAGAGGCAAGCAAAGATTAGATGATGTATGATAAGAGAGAGGAGAGAAGCTTGAGGGGAAAGAGAGAGAGAGACAAAAAGCTTGCCCAATCGATGCATGTCCATCAACACATGTCGAATCATTAATGCATGTATATTCAGTACTACATAGTCAAAAACGTGATATTAATTTAATGATATTTTTAATATTAGTGAACGTTAGTGTTTATTTAGAAATAATTTAAAAGTATAGAAGTTAATATAGAACAAAAAATATAAAGGCTTGAACTAAACAAATTTAAATAATATAAAGACTATTTTAATATTTAAACCATTTAGATTTTGTTCAAATAGAATCACTATTAAAAACGATCTAATATCCTATATAAGTACCTTTTACATAATGAATAATATTTCTACATGGCATTATATTTTAAAAATATTGTCAACACGTAGACATGCGTTAACCATGTTAGTAATGATTTTTTTTTTTAAATTTATCTTTCATTTTAAAAATAAAAATAAATATTAAAAAGACAATTTTTCTTGTTCTTAGAGAAAGAAAATAAAGGTTTCTTTCTCAATTCCATCAAACTCAATTTATCTTTGATTCTTTATGAACTCTATTTTTTTTTATTTAGTTTGCATGGGCTAAGAAGTTGTTACTTGAATCGATCAATAATGGAGAAAAGGATTAGAGTTTAATTTTTATTTCAATTTTGATATTCTTATGGTTTTTTCCATTGAGGGTTTTGCATATTTGATATTTTTTGCTAATTAATGCACTTTTTAAATAAGAGAAGAAGTCGTTGGAAGTAAGGAAAAGAAACTAAGCCTAAGAGACAAATAAAAATTGTGTGGGACTAACACATTATACTAGTAGAAACTATATGATCATGACTTTCGTAACCCAAACGATTACATAGTATTATGGTCTTTATGACCAATACTTCAATAGTTTGTCTTTATGCCAGGGAGTTAGGAGCAGGAAACAAGATGCAAAAAGACTTGGGATGGAAGCATAGATGGTGTTGTTATGGGGTGCCACATAAGCACCTTTATATGTTTTAAGCTTCATTTTGTTATCCAACACATTTGTTGGTGTTACCACTTTTGTTTGTTTTTGTTTTCATTATATTATCTCTATGGATAACAATTTAAACAATTCATTGTTTTTTTTATTACCATTTCAAGCGTAAATTGCCTCCCTCGCTACTAGGTTTTGATTTTCATTTTTTTTAATCAACTTATTTGATTTTAAGAGAACTGAAAACCAGTTTGTCCATGGTATTTTATTTTTTGTAAAGATATTTAAATTTTATTTTTTAAAAAAATAATAGAAAGTGATTAACAACATAACAGATTCCATCATACTGACAATATTTTTAAAATATAATACTTATGTTAATATTTTGTATGCCACATGAGTGTATATCTAACGATATTAGACATATCGTGTAGAGACCCTGAACTAAAGAAAATGAATTTATAATTTACATGCGAAAATGAATAATAATGTTAGAGTTTACATTCTTTACACAATAAATTGAAATGTCCAATAAGGTTACGAGAATGTCCTTTATACGTAGTTCATAAAAGACAAATAATAATTAAAGAAAAATATATAAATAAGTATCATATGATAACCTTCACTAGCAATTGAAGGGAGTTTGGGAGGTGAACTACTCGCAACTCTCTTACTGATTGAGATATGGGTCTTGGTCTTCTTGATATGAAATAGTTAATGAAAGGGTGAGCTATATTAGTCTAGTAAGAATATCACACTAATCACTGATACAAAAAATCGAAGGTTTGTAAAAATCAGAAAACAACTAATGGAGTACTTACTTTAAGTAAATACATTTAATTTTAAAACTTTTTATTTGATATTTACCATTACGATTTTTTCTCAAAATCAACTTATGAAGACAAGTAACTAAATGATATTTCAATTTCATGCATAGAATCAACAATCCTTTTTTTTGTACCCTACCTACTGAGACCCCATATGGTCAATAGGGATATCCCTCTACTTGTGAACCTAGTATCATGATTTGACAATTAACCCAACCGTTCTCATACCCTGTTCGGTAATAGGCACCAAAAACACTATCGCCTTAATACTCCATCCGATATAAGGGTGAATCATATCTCCTAAAACCCACTCGGTATAAGACTTCTCGGTCTCGTCCGACTAAAGTAATATCTACAGTAGAGTTCCTTATATACCGGGTCCATCTATATTTTTCAAGATACCTAGTAAGTTTTTATTTATTTAGATTCTCATCATCCAACAACCACTAAAACATGCCGACATCTCATTTCATATTCACAGATTAATTCGAATGACACTTAAACAAGCGATACAATTTAGCATAGCCAAATAATCAAATAATCAAAATATCGAATAAACAATGCAGGATGAACCAAATAACCAAATAATCGAAAAGATCATAAAAACCATCAATTTAATTATGCACAATATAATAGTAAGTAAATATAGGTATACAAAAATAAATAGAGAATCGGGATAAATGTGAACTAACCAGTTCTGATTTCGGTAGTGATATGTACTATTTTTAAACTAATTTTTCACAAAACACACAATTATCGATTATTAAACCTTAGTTTACCATAACTGAGAATAGGGTGAGAGATCCTTACCCAAATTGGTGTTTTGAGACACCGCACTATCTACTACGCTTCTTAATGGGTCTTGGGTTTCTCGAATTTTCCTGCGAAAATTCAAAATACTCGTCACGCAACTAAAAATATCTAAAAAAATCCTAAATCGGTGTCGAAAATTCCATTCCGACTAATTTTAAGGTTCCAGCACGGCGACAGTGTCGTGCTCTGGCACCCATGGTGGCGGTTTTCCTCAGCCTTGCTAGTTTTAGCCAATTTTGGTTGGTTTGAGCTAGTTTTACATGTATTTTTGCGAAAAAACGTGTTAGGAGACCTCGGTTGGCCAAAAAATCATAAAAACCAAACCTACCGACTAAGGGTTTCCTGGTGCAGCGGCTTTGCCAGTTCTCCTTCGCGGTTGGGGTTTCTTCTTCGACTAACTTGCATAGAAAAGGACGGTGAACACAATGGTTAAAAAATCTCATGAAACGGGAAGGGCTCATTGGAGGGTTTTAGGGTTTCAGCCGCTGCGACTTCGCCGGGTTTGCCCACAATTTCTGGCTCACCTGCCGTCCTTTTTGCTTCGATTGGCCACAAGGAGACTTGGAATCGAATTCTTAGCGGGTATGGAAGAATTTTATCTTTTTTGGCGGTAGGCGGTGGCTCTGGTGTAGCAACAGCCGGGGGTCAGTCTCCTTTTTCGGCAAGGGTAGGTGCGGCTAGGGTTAGGGTTCCCTTGCGATTCGATATTTTTATACCTATTTCGCGTCGATCTGAACCGTTCATTTGCGTCGACGTGGAACGATGAGAGCCGTATGATCGTTGCCTGTTTAGGTCAATTGCACGGGCGAATATGAATCGTTCATCACGATTGATCTCATCTATCTTATCACGCCTAATGAAGGAATGCATAGGAGCCGTTCATGCGTGGGGGATTGAATTTGGGCCGTCGGATCGCTGGACACGGGGATCGCTCGCGTGGCCTCCCGCATGGTGCCGATGTTAAGCGTGTTTTGCTACGTGGCGTGCTCTGTTTTGCCATGACTGTTGACTGGGCAGTTCCACGTGACTGAATTTTCTCTTTTTGCATTTCGACATTCTTGTTTTTAATTTTTCTTTCAAAAGTATCATTCGAACTTAAATTTTTGCTCACCTTTCCGAAAATTGCTTTCAATTACGTCATTAACCTATTTTTCTCAAGTAATTTAATAAAACTGAATAAAAATAATATTTTTAATCATTATTATTATTATTTTTAAATACAAAAATTAATTCTGAGCCAAATTCCGGGATCGGATATTACACACTGTTAGTGATAGGAGTTAATGTAGATAAAATTTAAAAAAACATGTACTATATTTTAATTAAAAAATAATATAGAGACAAATTTAAAATTTTTGAAATATTACAATAATTTTTGATATAATATTCTATTTAAATATTAAATATATATATAAGATAGCTGCAATTTGTATTCTGAGTTTTAAAATAATTTTTATTAAAATATTTATTTACTAAAAAATACTTAATAAAAAATTGTTAGTGTTTGATAGAAATAATTATAAAAAATATTATTGTTTTAAAAAATTAAAAATTATATATTTGATAAACATAATTTAATTGTAAAAATACTTTTGAAACTTAATAACAAGTTTATCCAAAACAAGGCTTAAAGAAGTACGGTAGAGATTAATGTAATAATAATTTATCCTTAATATCATTGATTTAAGTTGATATGTTAATATTTTAATTAAATTAATTATTAAAAATTTAAATATTGATTTATACTAATATTATTTATTAATAGTAGCTAGATAATATAAATCTATATTTTTATAAATATTAAAATTTGTTTATTTATTATTAAATAATTAAATTTCATAACTTAAAATGTAAAAATTTATAATATTTTATTTTTCCTAAAATTACTAAAAGTATTTGAATTTTTCTAACTTAATTGATCGAATTCTCGTTAAATTAAGAGTCACACTTGAATTATAATTTTAAATATAGAAAACATATTTGAAAGGTTACTGTTCTAATCGGCCCAAAAACCATAGCCCAAAACCACAAAGTTATAAAGGACCAGCCGGATTAGGGTTTCTTTTCCGCAGGCGATAAGAAAGTGAGAGAAGATCACCTGTCTCTCCTCTTTGCCGCTGTTGTCAGTGCTTATCGCAGCCATGGTACCTCAGTTTCTCGTCCTTCAATTTTTGCTATTGCATTGTGTTTGCTTTCCGAGAAAGCTTTAGAGTAAAGAATGAGAAAATATTAAATTGCGCGTTTTTCTTTTAATTTGGAAGTTTTCTAATTTCATGCCCGTTTCTTATGTTTTAAACTGCCTCTAGATCATTCCAGAGAAGAACCGTCGGGAGATCTCTAAGTACCTCTTTCAAGGTGTCTTTTCTTCGTCTTTTCATGTTACGGATAGGTATTGCTAAATATGGTGGCTGGTTATGTTTACTTTTGTTCTTTGCGTTTATTTTCATGGTTTCACAGAGGGCGTCTGCTATGCCAAGAAGGATTTTAACTTGACGAAGCACCCGGAGATCAATGTCCCGAATCTGCAGGTGATAAAGCTGATGCAAAGCTTCAAGTCGAAGGAGTACGTGCGCGAGACTTTCGCGTGGATGCATTATTACTGGTACCTGACGAATGAAGGCATTGACTTCCTCAGGTCTTACCTCAATCTACCTTCTGAGATTGTCCCAGCGACTTTGAAGAAGCAGGCCAAGCCTGGAGGCCGGCCCATGGGTGGCCCATCGGGTGACCGCCCCCGGTATTTCATTGTTCTCGTTTGCTTTTATGTTGGTTTTGATTTTCATCGTAATTGCTATTTGGATGGATAGATTTAATATGTGTTACACCGCACAATCTCCTGTTTGAAGGATTTTCCTTGGTGTATCATAGCATAGGTCGTCAGCTGTTGGGTCGATTTGTTACACTTTTTGTTATTTTTTTTTTTACCGTGGACTCTCTAGCATTTGGTTACCTCCCATTTTTATCTTTTTCTTTTGAAACAATATTTCTACGGGAGTATCTGATTTTGTTTTATTCATGTTTTTTTTCTTTCTATTTTTTAGTTGTTATTTCTCGTTTTAGTTTTCTGAAAAGCTGTCTGTTTATTTGGATTTGGGGTAATGAGGCTGGTGTATATTGGGTTTTGCATTGTTGGGAGTGATTTCATGTGTTTTTTGATTTGGTATAATGTTTTTGGTTTATGTGTATGTTAATATATTGTGATGCAGTGGTCCACCTCGCTTTGAGGGGGAGAGGAGGTTCGGTGACAGGGATGGATATCGTGGAGGTCCACGGCCTGGAGGAGAATTTGGGGACAAGGGTGGAGCTCCAGCGGACTATCAGCCGTCTTTCAGGGTAAATTTTGTGATGTTTCAGATGGATTTTTCTGGTTCTTTATTTTTAATGGTGGTTCTGTTATCAATTGCTTGACTATCTTGTCATCTGCTTTGTCATTATGTGTATCCTGTACATTTGGTTTAGTGTGAGAACAAGAATTGGCCTTCAATTTTCTGAAATTCTGTTGGATATATTTCTAATAGTGGTTCGCTGTGGATATATTTTGCCTGTAATGGTTAGATAAGGCTCACTAACATCTCTTGAAAATGTATCCTTTGGCTCAAGTGTTATGAGAAACTGAAATTGAGTTGGCAGTGTAATAGTTCAAACTGATGTAAGTAGTTTTGAGCAGAAAAATAAGCACCTTTGAACTTTTTTGGAATTGATATAGCATGTTTTTTCATAGCATATTTAGCGATTTATTCCTGTATATATGTTTTATTATAAAAGATACTCTTTTTTTATGCAATAAGCATGATTAGCCAAACATTTAATTGCATTGTTTTTAAATAGCCCCTAATTATGTTGTGTGACTTGAAGCTCCTACTTTTTGTTATTTGCTTCTAAGAGGTATCCTAGCATATTTGTGAGCTGTTGATTTCTAATTTCGTCATTTGCTTAATTTAACATGAGCATATTAGATTTGTGTTTTTGTTTTGACCAGGTGGGTGTTGCATTATCTTTTTATTGAGGCCTTTAATTTAGAGATAAGTCTTGCTAGCTTTGATGTGTTTTTAAATCGAGTTTGGCAGAGGTACCTAGTATCAGTTCAACAAGGTGCACTATTTTAAGCTTTTACATTGTAAATCGCAAAAGATTGCACCGCCAATGCAGTGGCCTAGTATTTAGATTCTCCGTTCTGTTTAAAGGTCACGAGTTTTATTTTCACTGGTGATATAGAGTTTGTCACTAAATTGGTGTGTTATGTGCCCGTGGTGGCCGACTTATAATACTTAATTTAATGACTTAGTACTTACCTTAATAACGTGATGGTAGGATTATAGTGACTAAATTAGATTTGGTTATAATAACTCCTTTAGCAGTGACTAGATTATTTTATCCGTGGTAGCCACAGCAAGATAAAGAGAAAACCTGATTAGACATTTTTTTTTTTAATCTAAAAAGTCCAAAAAAAAAATGTTGCAAGTTCTGGAATTGGAACATAAAATTGTGAGTTGCCTTGAGGTCATTTGCAAGTCATTCAAGAAGGAACAAGATAATAATCTGGACATCTGGGCTTGTGTCTTTGTGAATGTAAAACTAATTTGATACACTCACTTTCAGGCTCCTGGTGGAAGGCCTGGCTTTGGACGTGGAGGTGGTGGTTTTGGTGCAGGTCCAACAAGCTCAAACCTTCCTTGAGAGAGTTTTTTGTCATTCGCATAGTTTTGTCAGCTTAACTTTTCAAAGATCCAATGTGTTCTCATCATATGGGAGTTAATAGCAATTTCTGTGATCTTTCTTTAGCATTTGAGTAATTTGTGGGATTTGTTAAAAATGTTTATCCACTTTGATTTAATGATTTAAATTTGAAGGAGTTTCATATTTGTATTCTGCGCTTGTCCTGAATTGTTGGTTTCTTCATCCTTTTTTTGTTGCTTATTTGATTCTGTGCCATCATTACCCGTACTTCTGACAATTATAAGGTGAGCTTCGAAATGAACTAGAGAAGCAATAAAATTATGTTGTGATAATTAATAAATAGAATGAATGAAGAGGGAGGTGGTTGTGAACTCATATAGTAGCAAATGTTTTACCACTGTGAAAAATATTTTAAAATTGACCTCAAATAGTGTTAATGCTCTATGTAGGATAAAATATTTGAAGTTCCATCATCTTAATTTGGAGGGTAAAATAAATAGGTTAGAAGTCTACCATGAATTTGCTATTTACACAGAATTCTACAAGTATTTTTCTCTATCGTATTATTTTTTGCTTTTAGTAAGATATTAAGTTTAGGGAAACCATCGAGTCCTTGGGTTAAAAGTAAAAAAGTATATCAGATAGGTGATAATATGAAAATATTTAAAAATAATAATATAACAAATAATAAATATTAAATTTTCTTTTCTAAACTGCTTTCTTTAATTGTTAAAATGCTCTCTTCAATTATGATTTACAATTAATTCTGTGTAGACATAATAACTATTATTAAAATAAAAAAATAAATTTCAAAATTCACATAATGCAATTTCCTAAGTAAATGGTTGTTTTCAGCATATATTATCTCAAATGTGTATCGATGCCAAATTCTTTTAGGCATTCTTGCATTATAATATCAGCAACATAAATCTTGTAAGTATTGAATACTTGAACCTCGACCCTTATCGATACAAAAAATAATTTAGACATCCAACCAAATCTTACTGTCAGATATTCTATCATTTTTGTCTGCCAAAACTTTGATCCAAAGACTCAGTCAGTGTTTAGAAGAATATCTAAGATGCATAGAGTTTTAAGATTGTTGTACATTTCTTCTAACTCCAGTCTCAAGATTGTTGCCATATGAGTTGGATATCCCTCCAACAACTCCAGAACTTCTAGAGAAAAGGAAACATGGGGAGCGGGATGTTGAGGTAATAACTGAAGTTCTTTATTCGAATTCTTATCTATCTTTACTTGTTTTATTATTTCCTGGTTTATTGAGAGTTCAGTGCAACTTAAGTTTGGCGGTACTGCTAAAATACCAGGTTGATAGAATATAAATGCTGACATCATCAGTGATGGACATTGAATTAATGGATCATCCAGTTTGAGTATAGTTTCAATCTCTGTATGCTGTAGCATCGATAAGGCTTAGATTGTCAAGAAAGCAATCACAAGAAAATCATAAACATTTTACAGGGTACATATATGTCTTTAAGCACAACCATCTAATTATAATATTTCAGGTGGAAACATACATAAATTTTCGTGGTACCCTACATCTTTGGGTGCCAGGAGCATGTCTGAAGCTCTAAGTTATCAATTGGCAAGTTGTCTTCTGGAAAATTACAGGGTACAAGTGTATCCGGTTCTTTGTCCGACAATTGTTCACATGCCGGAGGAACTACGCCACTAGTAGTCCCCTCAATATCAACACAATTCCATTGAATTTTCTTTGGCTTCTTCGACAAACCGACTGTCACATTAGATATGCAAATTCCGCTGAAGACATCTCCCTCAATGCCCTGTAGTTGAGCTGCCATTGTTACATTCTCTGCAACCATGTCGCGATAATTAATGTTTTGGATGACAGGAAGTGCATTAGGATTGTATTTGTCGTCTGGATGAGAGCCGTAGTTTCCTGTAATCCAGAAAACATACTTCATTGTTTGCATTACCATTCTCCTTACGAATATGTCTTTAACATATCCACCTCTGCCTACACCAGTCTTGATTCTTACACCAGATTCCGAGTTGATAGCAACAATATCCTCTGCCCTGACATCTTCAATTCCACCGGACATCTCGCTCCCTAATGCGATCACTGCACTGTCTGGAGAAATGCAAGTGAGTCGTCTAATTGCTAGTTGTTTCGTTGGCATCCCAAAAGAAATTCCATATTCATCCCATCCACTTTTAATTGCTATACAATCATCTCCAGAGACAATGTAACAGTCCTCGATCACCGTATTGGTACATGAATCTGAACATTATACCAAAAAAGACCCATCAAACAATTGGAATCAGAAATGTTCAGTTTTAGGATACTTGTATTTGTTCTTTAAGGATGGATTATAAATTGCAAGAAAGTTGGCAAACTCACCTGGGTTTATACCATCAGTATTTGGAACTGTTACTGGAGCAAGTATTGTTAAGCCTTTGACAATAACATTGCTGCATGTAATATTCTTCTATTAAAAAATTATGACAAAACCAAGAAATAAGTACCTAGTTTCTACACCATCTCTTGCAAATAAAGGAAAAAGGATAATCAAGAATGAGAGGGAAAACCTGCTATAAACGGGATGAACATGCCATGATGGAGAGTTTAACAATGTGAGATCAGAAATTTGAACACCATCAGAGTACATGATCTCAATTAGGTACGGACGAGTGTATTTCAGCTTGCCTCTGTGAAATTTTTGCCACCATGGAGCACCTTGTCCATCAATGGTGCCATTGTCACCTGAAACAGCATTAAACCCCTCATATATACATATGTTTAATTACAAAGTAATAACCACTAAAAGTATATAACTCATATAGTATGATTGAGTTCAAATTTGACTCTGATCTTGTTTCAGAAAAATGATTATAAAATTTACTTCCTTACCTGTTATAACAACATCGGTTAAGTTGGTTCCAAATATAAGACTTACGTATCTTCCACCGGGTGCATCTCTTCCTCTACCATAAGATGGTAGTGGGTCAATCACAGGCCATTCTCTTTCATCCTAAGGCGCCATAAAACATTAAACACTCTTTACAACAAAACTCTTGTATCATTATGATAACTGAGTACAAGAAAAATTCATACAATTTTAAGTGCAGTAAAAGAGAATTCCTCACTTACTATATAACTTTTTACCTTTCTGCCTTCAGGGTAAAATAACTTTCAAGTATGTTTGCATTTTTCAGGTCAAGAAGGTGGGTGAGGTTATATAACGAATTCTTGACTGGGGGAGGAAAAATTAAGCATTTGGGTGATGAGAAAAGTTCATAGGACCAAAAATTTCAATGGTCAAAGTCATGTTAGTGACAGGAACCATAAAAAAAGACTAGAATTTGGTTTTGATAGGTGAAGTTGAAACTGTTGATGACACACCTAATACGCCGTATTTGGTGCATCTGATATATACATATATTTTTTTATAACTTTTTATCTCTAAATTTTATTTGACTTTCAGCTGGAGTAGGTTCGTATTTTACTCTTTAACACTTGGATTATTTCCAACATCCATATATATTAGCCAACAACAATATACCAAATCTGACATTCAGATAATTTAATACGCAGGAAATCACGGATTAGTTCTTTTTTATGTTATAATTTACTGAAAACGTGATTTTTCTTTTTATTGAATTTTTTAAAAATAAAATAGCATAAAAAAAAAATATAATGTTTTCGCTGTTTGCTCTCAAAATTTTCATAATTCTACAAATGCTATTTGAATCAAGATATTTTAAATACTTAATTGTAAAGAAAAAGAAATTTTATGATGTAATTATACCGTAACAGATGCTTTAGATAATAGCTAGGAATTATAATTTGACAAATTTTCATATGAAAAAAGAGGTAATTAAGTAGAAGGAATTAATTATTAAATCTGGATATAATTATGTTTAATGTGACGTAAATTAGGGAGAAATAATTGTATAACCTGAACAGCAAGAAGAGCAGCGTCTCTGTGAAGATAAAGGGTAAAATGGCTGGTGAGATTGAAACTTCCAGTTAACCATTTTCCAGGAGGAACGAAGAGTTGAGATCCGCCAGACGATGAGAATTGACTCAAATGGTCAATTGCATCTTGAAAAGCTTTCGTGTTCAATGTTTCTCCATCTCCAACTGCTCCGAAATCAGTTAAAACTGCATTATGAGCTCTGCAATTTATAGCACTGTACTCGAAGTTAGCTACAATCTGATCATTATCGTGATCATGATGATGCTTCACCTTCTTCCTCCCTTCAACTCCATTTACGCTCAAACCAACAAGAACCAGAACAAGAAACAATATTACCTAGTAAAAAAACGTTAATGCACGCTGATTAATAGAAAGAAATCAACTCATTTTCTTATAATTAAGTAATCGATCGGCAGCCAGGATGATGAAGAGTGATAGTAATTTGGGGTAGTACCTGCAGGCTTCTTCTGGGTTTTTCGGAAACCGCCATTGAACAGAATAAATGACTCGTGAACTCTTTTTGTTTTCAGTTATGAGATTCTGGCTTGTGAATTGGTTATATATTTATATACATATATAGATAGGGAAAGAGAGAGAGAGAGAGAGAGAGAGAGAGAGATTGTGGGCTCAGTGGATCATGTCCAAACAGAAACTGATCTTTATTTTTTCCGAGGGAAATTGATTAATCAAAACAAAAATCGAAATTACCTTTTTGTCCCCTCATATATACACACACACATATATATATATATATGTACATGTATATTATTAAGCTATGAAATATTATTAATACAGAAGGCTTATCTTATGCGTAGGGTTTTTACTTTTGGTAAAATACAATAGTGAGAATCTCCTTGGCCTGCAATGAATCATGATTTCATGATCCTAGAAACATTTTCTTTTTTGTAATGGGGGATGCACATTAACACCCATTTCTTAATTTAAGAAATTAAAAAAGTTAATTGAGTTGTAGTATTTGAATTTTAGTAATCAACTTTAATTATTATATCAATATATATATATATATATATATTTCATAAGATATGGAAGTTGGTGGGATAGATTAAGGGAATAAAAAGAGAAAAAGAAAAGGAAAGAGTGGGTGATGATTAAATCTCAGAGTTAATATATTACTGTTTGAAGAAAGAAGAAAGTGTGTAGATGATGCATTGAATAACATAATGCTCACTGTGTCAAGCATTCAAGCAAACTCCATACTTGAAAAGCACAAAGGTTTGGCCACTAACCTACCCATATCCTCCAATAGTGCATAATATATATATATATATATATATATATAACCACACAAATATTTAAAACAGAAAAATATTAAAGTAGGCCGAGTGCTCATGCCACTCATGCTCCATATTCACTTTGTCTTTTTGTCTTCACATTCAATATTCTCCACAAATCACATATTCTCGATCTTAGTTAACTATTATACATATATATATAAAATGGTATCCTTAAAATGAATTTACACTAAAAATTTTGTTTATGATAATACTTAAACCAACTTGCACCACCAATAACTAATTTTTGATCTTTGAATACTAGAAAAATATTTATTATATTAAACTAATAGAAAAGATAATTAATTCTGTATATAGTCTAATTTATTATTTAATTTTTGTTGTTACGAATACGTAATAATAATTTATAATATTTAATTTAATAAAAATAAAAATTTAATTTATTAATATATTATTAAAGTTGCAGTAATTAATTGACGTAGATGTTAACGAATCAGTTATATTTTTGAACAAAAAAATATTTTTGTATAATTAAATTTTTTTATCGGATAGTTACATAGTTAAATTTTATGAAATATTTTTTAAAAA